AGCTGGTGCAAAATGCAGTGGCGTGGGCTGTTATGTGTGCTTCTAGAACAGCACGTTACACCTCTGCTCCGCAAGCTGCACTGGTTGCCAGTTTGCTTCTGAGTTTAATTCAAGGTGCTGGTTTTGAACTTTAAAGCCCCTCATGGCATGGGGCCAGGTTATTTGAGGGACCGCTTCTCCCCAATTACATCTGCCCATCCCATCAGATCCAGCAGAAGAAGCAAGAAGCATATGGGTCCTGTCTGCTAGAGAGCTATACTTGGCAGGACCCAGGAGGTGTGCTTTTCTGCTTGGGCACCCACCTTATGGAATATCCTCTCCCCCGAAGTGGGGCTGGCTCCATCCCTGTTGATTTTCCTGAAATCCCTCAAAACCTGGTTACGCCATCAGACCTGGGGGCCTCATGGGACCAGAGAGGTACTGAGGTGACTCCATTGTTGTTGACATCTGTTGCCTTCTCTGAGACCTTTAATTGTGATTTTTAAAATTTTCTGGATTATAATTGTTTTTTATATATTACTGTTTTATAGTTTTATTGTATGCTACCCAGAGTCACTCTTTCGTGAGATGGGTGGCCATATAAATTTGATGAATAAATTAAAAAATAAATAAGGTGAGAATTTCCTTATTTGTCCTGGCATTCTAAACTGTTAGGCTAGCTTTATTGATTTGCTGTTTTGTTATTTTGACTTACATTTATTTGGACATTTTATTGCTTTATATACAATAGTAAGACATTGTTTGCTTTTTATGCCCCTTGTAACATGTCCTAGTATTCTATGGTAAATCAGATTAAAAGTAATTCAAATTAAAAATAAATAAATAACAGCCAAACAAATAAAATTCTTCCTCCAGGGATCTTCTGACAGCTGCATTCCCATCCCTGCTTTATGTTTTATCTTTACAGAAACTCTATGAAGATAAAAGTACAATTTAAAACATACTTTTGGATTTCCCTGAATATGCTAGTTAACCCACTGCCACTAAAATTTCATCCACTAGTTCTTAATATTATTTAAAAATTAATGGGACTAAAAGAGAATATCTATTCTGTTTTTGCTTCTTCATTTCTTGTTTATAAGTAAGCTTATTTCTAAAAACTAGATTCCTCTGGGAGCTCTACCATACTCAAACAAAATTCTACCACTAAAAGTAGATAATATAAAAGAAGGAGTCACTAATCTGTTTAAAGTTAACACATTCACCTTTATCTCTGATACACTTGCTCTTGTTTTTAGATATTTCTTTCCATTCTTGCTTGGAAAAATCTTTGATCCACCACTATTCTGTTTTGTTTGCTTTAAAGATAACAAAAAAGAATAGGGGTAGATGACTGTTTTAGTCATCCCTCCAGCTGTAGCATGCCTCCACTCAAGGCATGGGACTGAAAACTCAAAGGTTGGGGAACACAGGGGCATAATTTCACCCTCTATATGATGGGATCTGTTCATGTAGGACAGCCACATTGGTTCTCAGGAGATTCCCCAGGCCTCACCTCATATGCAGACTCTTATTCCATACTGTGAATTTCCCCCATATCCAGCTGACAAATACAACATAACCTCCAGGTTTGTCATAACATGAGTGAGATCTCTACACTGAAGTTCCTGGCAGTTCTGATAAAGAACAGATTCCTCCTTGAGATTTTGGCTGGGTTTGATAGAGGCTTTTGAAGACAGAAAATTACTTTGCCTGCCAGACTTCTCCAACATCCAACACCCACTGTTAGGGCCAAATTCAGTGATGCAGTTAGAGTTCAACCTTGATGTCAAATTGAGGGACCCAAAGTCAAAGGAGCCCCCAAATTACATATCTAGGAATACATTATAGTCAGGGATTGACAAGCTGAGAATATGCACAACTATAACGCTCAAGTTGGTATTTTTATTTGAAAAACATATTATTTTCTGCAATGAAATGATACTCACTGTAAGCAAAGGATTCCAAAAAGTTATTAAATCCAGGCCCTGTATTTCCTTAGGTGGAACTTCAGTATGGACAAGACAAGCCATCCATTTTCCTGTTCAGAACAGTTAGCATCCCCGGGAGAAAAAGAAAACACAATGGAGGAGGAGGATTTTATGAAATGTATAAGAAGACTGCCAAATAAAAATATAGTGTGGCATCTCGGACTGTTTTGGAATGTGCTGCAAGGTCTCATTCAGGAGGGCCCTTGCTCAAGAACAAAGCCGTGCTGAAAACTGGGGAGGGCAGAGGAGAGGACCCCTGCCCTGCCCAAGGGCCAGGGGAGGGGGCACCCCAAACAGGAGTTTCGTCCGCGCTGCTCCTTGGCCAACTGCTGACGGAGGCCACTCCAATGAATCCCTCTGCCCCGAGATCATGTGCTTCCAGCCGCCAGTGCGCTGCCAAAGAGGAAGTGCGGGTTGTTTTCGTTCGCTCGGTTCCTCTCCAGACGAAGATGAAAGGCGGCGGCGGCGGCGGCGGCGGCAGGGGCCACCACTGGCAAAGTTAAGCGCGAGCTGTGACCGCCAGAATCCCGGGCGCAGATGGAGGCCCTGGAGTGGGACGCGCTGAGGAACGGCAGCCTCTTGCCCACTCTGAGCCCGGCTGTGCCTCCGTACGTGAAGCTGGGTCTCACCGTTGCCTACACCGTCTTTTATTCGCTCCTCTTCCTGTTCATTTACATCCAGCTCTGGCTGGTCCTGCACTACCGGCACAAGAGGCTTAGCTATCAGACGGTATTTTTATTTCTGTGCCTGCTCTGGGCTTCTCTTCGGACGGTGCTCTTCTCCTTTTACTTCAAGGACTTTGTCACCGCAAATTCTCTCAGCCCCTTCGCCTTTTGGCTCCTCTATTGCTTCCCTGTGTGCCTCCAGTTTTTCACCCTGACGCTGATGAACCTTTACTTCACCCAGGTAAGGGGGGGAAAGGAGAGAGAGGCGGCCGTCCCTGCGCTCGGGTCGGTGGGAGCGCGGCCGGACTGGCGCACCTTTTCCTTTAGGGAATGTCAGGCGGGCTGATATGCCGGTGGAACCGCCATTTACCGAAGCTGCGGAGTTACCGGCCCGTAAAAGCTGACATTTGGAGGGGGAGCCCTGGTTGTTAGACAGAGACCGTAGCAACAACCAAAAAAAGTTCTGACTCAGCCAATTGGACAGAGCAGCTGATTTTTTTTTTTTTTTGGCAAGGTTTCACAATATAATACAGCAGGGAATTGGAATCTCAGTGGCGTTTAAGAAGGGGAGAAAGAATATGATAGGTCCAAGATATGCAGAGATTACCTGTCTCTGACCACTTAGTTTGATGCAAGATTTCCACCAAGCTTTGTTTATCCATTTAGGAATAACTCCTTCCTCTTCCTCATCAAAAATCACACGGTTCACAAGTGGAGTATTATGTAGTGGTGTCTTTAATTTTATTTTCTTGTTGCGTGAATACTGATGACAGTACATGCAAGGGAAATCTTTCCTGAACACTGGTATGGGTGCAACATTTTAAAATGGGATCAGGGAGATAGGAAGTCTCACACTATTCTTAAGGCTCCTTCAGGTATTAACATGCTCAGAGAGAGGCCATTTCTGGACAAACAGCAACCCTGTTTTGCAGTGTTGTGTGAATAGCTGAAAGAATTTCTGAAAGAAATGTATATTACACACTTTTAATTTTTGAAATGCATTAAATAAATGTTAAGGAATGTCCCTGAGAAATTTAGTTTTTAGTAGTAAGTGGGCTTGGCTGAGATTTTTCTTTTTATAGAAACAGGAGCAAGGAAGACGTTAGCATCACTGAAATTTTAAAGAAGTTGAGCAGAACATTATTTTAAAAATAGGAAGTGGGGAAGGGAAGGGTGAAATATGGGAGACATGTTAAATAACTTTTTCTTTCTGGAAATCACAGAGAAACTGTGATGAAGAGCCAGGGCTGCACATAATGATAAACCATGTTTATCTTGTTCTGGCATGGCATAAAATTCAGGCCAAATTATGCCCTAACATTATCAACAAACCAAGCCACTATGGATTTTCAACAAACCAAGGTTTAAAAGTTCTAGGTAAATGTTGTGTATGAATGCAATAATCTTCTCTTGCCATGAATGGATGCCAACAAAGAAGACCCCACTGACTTCAGTGTTGTTTTTCCCAGATAAACTGTAGGTTGATTGAAGTTTTGGCTTCAGTACTTCGTATTATAATGATTTGTAACTTTTACTGTGATTGTGAAGATGGACCAGAATCACTCATTAAAAATGCTATAATATTAGCAAATATATCAGTCTTTCATTAGGTGAAAATGGGATAAAGTTTTATTACTACTGTACTGAAAACAGGGACTTGCAGAAGTAACATACAGAAACTAGTGTAGGCTTTGGCACATTCTGATTGTAAGAAAGAGGCTAAATTGAAAGAATATGGCCAGGTTCACACATTGCACTAACAAATAGTTTAACTACTGTTTAGAGAATAAGTGACAAGAGTTAAGGTAGAATAATTCCAAAATCTGTAGTACTAAGTCATTCACAGACTGCTGTTCTGTGCATAGTTATTTCACTGGGAATAATTGCCACTGAATATAATGGGAATTGATTCAGAGAAACACATTTGTAAACATGTTTAAGATTGCACTCTACTTACTACAGTCAACAGTTTCAGATAAACATCAGGCGACAAGTTTGGCTTGTAAGTCTGCATGTTGCCACAGAATACCCCTTTAAAAATTACATCTACATTGTCACATCAGACATGCATGGACAAGTGTGAAAGGGAGGAGAGGAACACACTCTTAGTCCAGAGGCAACTTTCATCCAAATAAAAAGACAGGTTCTGCCTCAGTGTGCCTTAAACCCAGTCTGTTTGGTGTAAGCAAGTTACTAAATGTTAACAAAACTTAGGAAAGACTTGCAGAACTGCTAAGAACTCCCTCTATAAACACACTGTTCATTAACATGACAGAAGAAATGCATAGGAGAATCACTGGAATTATGCCAAGAAAGATGAATAATTAACAAATAGTTAAATTCACTTGGCAGAAAAAGAGGTTAGTCTCTCTTTCAACCTGTTAGGACAGACTTTCCCAATGTGGTACTCCTGATGTGTTGCATTTCAAGTCCCATAATTCTTATACCCGTTTAAAATGTGTTGGAATTTTAGTCATGCTTGATTCCTGTGACTTTATGGTCACATTTATGTACTTTTCTTGGCAATGATATTGGAATTAGGTTGCCTTTCCATTCTTTCACAATGCTTTTCAACTTCCCATTCTAGCCTACAGCTCTGGGCTGCCCTCATAGTCTTCCATTCTAGTAGTAACTAGGACTGACTCTGCTTAGCCTCTGTGCCCAGAGAAGGTTGGTCAAGGGCTACAACCTACTGAGATAATGGTAATGGGAGTGCATTTTGCAGGAAGGAAGGAATGAAAGAAGAAAGGATGGTTTAATATTTTCTTGCCTTTCAACTCTTTCTTGCAGTCTTTGCCTCTATGACTATTTATCTCAGCTGGGTTTATTTTTAGATTTTGAGCCATGATGGGGCAGAGCCTAGGAGGAAGAAGTTGTAGGAAAAAAGCAGTAGAAGGCTGAATCCTACTCCTTTTGAATCCCACTCAACTCCTGTATTAGGCTGACAAAGTGGGTGGTATATTAAAGAGTCCCATGTGTATTATATATAATGTAGATCTACTCTGAATCATAAGCATTCTCTTTCAAGTCCCTCTCAAATGAAATACTGAGAAAACATAAACCTGTCTTTTCAAAACACTGGCTCAGTTCACTTCCATATTCATAACTATGTGTGCATGTATTCTGTTTTAGGAATAGAATTTAACCTGAGATACATTAACATACATGTTTTTTCCACCTATACCAGGATTTCGGTTATCTGACCTGTTACAAATTTTATAGCATGGATTGCTTTGTATTTGTTCTATGTGTAATTTTTTTTTTTTTTTTGTCCTTTTGAGTCAATCTTGACTCTTGGCAACTGCCTGAATGAGTCTGCAGTATTCTTGACAAGTTTTCAGAAGTGGTTTGCCTCCTTCCTAAGGCTGAGAGAGTGTAACTGGCCCAAGGTCACCCAGCTGGCCTCATGCCTAAGGCGGGTATAGAACTCACCGTCTCCTGGTTTCTAGCCTGGTACCTTAACCACTGCACCAGACTGGCTCGCATGGACAGGTTCTACTGAGATTTAATTATTCGGAGTTCTTAGAACTTTAGAGCTGGTAAACCATGAAAGAATTCTAGTGAGTCTGAATGCTGGATAGGATACTAGGAGAAGGGTCAGGAGAGACCACCAAGCCAAAGTGTTCCAGAATTCACTTGGCACTGGTAAAAATAAGAGAGATTTGTCTAAGCTGTAAATAGTCTAAGTCTAAAGTGAAGCGTGTAAACACTTGTTTCATCTATGAAAACCATCTTACCAAGTGTCTGGGCTGGAAAGTTAAGCAGGGTTAAGCCTAATTAATACTTGGATAGGAGATCAGCAGGGAATATCGGGGTGTAGGCTAGACTGAGAAATTAAAAAAACACCCTGGAAGAAAGCAATGGCAACCCACTTCTGGACTGTTGCCAGGAAAACTGCATGAATGTGTCGATCAGTTAAGATTAATTTGAGGATGTTTCTACCTTTAAATGGATACTGTTTTATTAAATCCCTCAGTTCCCTGTGTGTTTATGTATGAATGTCATTCTGTGTTTTTATCTTATCTTTAAAGCATCCAGATAAAACTGTCCAAGTAAGCCTGATTTGAACATGAAATGTGCAGCCAAAAATAATAATTTGTGCAGTGTTATACACATCATGTCTCATTTAACTCTGATGTATGCCATTCATGTGCTGGCATCTTGAGGCTAAGAGTCCTAATCGTATGCATTGCTGGGTGTGTGCAACTGTGCATGGTTAATTTTTTCTTGCTCGACTACAGCATATAGAAATTGTATCATAAATATAAAGTACAGAAGCACTCCCAGTTTCATGATCCCTAGCTGTGTGGAACTACAACTCTCATCATCCTTAAGCATATGACTTTTGAAGACAAGGAGTTTCCTCTGCAGAGTTACTAGTAGTTTCCTGGGAGTTGTTAATTCTAGTTTAATCTCCATTTTTAGGTTAGTAGGAACAAATAGAGATTTAGAGGATAACAAAAATATTGTACGGTTACTGAATTGGAACATATGATACATTAGGAAAAGATTAGGAGGAAATGGAACAGAATATATTTAGATTAGAGAAAGATGCAGAATATGCTAGTCCCTTTTAAAGGGTCTTTTATTTGGAACAAATGTTTTTTCCATGGCTGCAAGGGATCTTATACATTCCAGAATTACTATTTATGACTCCCTATCCTTGCTAGGCTCTATCTGTGGATAAAGAATGTTTCTAGACATCGCTAAACCAAATTTACATGACTATACAGTATATCCCATCTCAGGCTGACTTTTCCTATGACTCAGTCTTACGCTAAACTGATACTAAAAGAATCTTCTGGAAAATCAGGTCACCCATGGGACTGATAGGCCAGTTTGAATGTCCACCTTTTGGATTTGTTCCTCCATATCTAGAAATGCCTCTGTTTGGTGAACAGCCTTCAAGCGGTTATTGGGTAGAGATGTAATGAGTTGATAAAACATCCACAAGGTTTAGGTTCCTGGTAAATTAAGCTAGCTAGGCTGTCTCAGGAACCCCTTTTATGTGAGATACACTTATGATGGTGGTATTTAAGGGAAAAGGAATTGCTGTTTCTTGGGCATGTGGCAAGGAATAATAGCACTTTGTTATGAAACTTGTGCATTGTGAATGGAGGAGGAAGAGGAGTTATTTGAAAGGTTACATATGTTTTACCACCTATAGTACTGTAACTGTAGCTCCAGTTACTGCCATTTCAGTTTGCTTTCATCCTACAACTCAGCAGCATCAGCTCCCTGTTGTGTGGAGTGAGAGGGTGGGGATTTTTGTTACCGCAAGACATGCAGCAGGGCAGGGCTGGGATTTTTACTTCTTGTTCTCAGCCATCCATCAGCAGAAGTGAAGACAATCACGGCTCATCTTCAGACTGTTTCTGAAACTGTTGGCGGGGTAGAAGTGCTCAACAATAAATTGTGCATGGTAGCTGTAGAAGCCACACTTTCCCCAAAGAACCATCTTAAAAACAACAGGGGAAGGGAAGGGGATATTCAGGGAAAATAGTATACTGGAGATGGGTTGAGTAGAGCCCCCATGCCATAAAAGTGGATCAGAACTCTCCAAGCCAAGTAAACTGATTGTATACATTGGCCCAACATTTAATGGCCCAACATTTTATGTTAAAAAGAAACTGACCATTTGTGACTTCTCTTTGTTTGATTCTTAGTTAAGTTGGGAACTTGGAATGATTTAGTTCTTTTACTAACTGGAGGGTGCCGCTCCAGGGTTAGCGTTCAAAGATACTGAAGGAAAATTCTGAGAAAAAGTGTTCTCCTTCTTCAAAGGTATAACAATCTGAATGTTCTTATTAAGCATTATTAGTAATTATGAGCAATTGTCTATTCACTGAAATATGTGACAGATCTAAGTAGCCTCAAGATATGTAGACTTTAACTCCAAAACTTCCTCAATCATTGCTGAGAATTCTAGTAACTGAAGGCTACAAATCTGAAATGAGCCCAGTTTGAGGAAGCTTACACTACAGAGGTATGTGGAAGGGAAACTGCAGCTTCTGAGAACAGATCTCTGCAAATTGCACATGGCAAATAATTAAGATATACTGCTGTATTACTTCTTGCAGAACCAAAGTTGTATACATGAGTAGTCTGAATATGCCCTGTTCCTACTTTTGCTCTGTTATCTAATGCAACTCTGGAAAAAAGTTAAGATGCCTTTGGTTTTGTTTTTTTTAAGGAAAGCAGTGTGGAATACTTTCTTTGTTTAAAAAGAGCTGAGCAATGGAGCAACTATCTGCCTATGACTAACAGAATCTCCTCTAATAAAAAAACTTCCAGCCAAAAGATAAAGATAGGAGAGTCACAAGCAGTAGTCAGGAAGGGTTGGTGACAATCATGAAAGCAAGCATTGATGCTTTCCTGACACACGTGAGCCTACTTTTCCTCGTTAATCATTTACCTGATCGCAGCATGGGACAGCACCTAGTCCAGGAGATCATTAAGTAATCCCAGGGCGGTAGGCTAGACTGGAAAGTTGAAAAGCATTCCAGCAGAAGGCAGTGGCAAACAATACCAAGAAAACTGCATGGCTGTATCCAAGCAGTCCCTACAAGTTGAGCTCAGCCTGAGACAGTCTTACCTATTTTAATCTTGGAGCATAAGCAGGCTTGGAACATCTGTTTCCCATTGAGCACAACAGGACTAGTAGATGGGTGAGGGCATGAGCACTGCAGAATTGCTTTCTTTCAGAAGAACCTACCCTTTAATGGATGATCATGGTTACTCTTTTTGCTTGGTTTCTCTGATTGTATGCAAAGCTACTTTTGCTTCTGTAGGTTTCTTGTTTAGGATAAAATGTATAGTTCCTGGAAGCACACTGGCAAATACAATTTTGTGGCCATATAGCAAACTGGCTATTTGCAAACCTGAAAGCAAGAGTATAGGAGCTGCACAATGGTTTTATTATGCATGTGGCCAAATCATCCACCTGAAATATAATGAACTCGCAGTACAAGAGAGTGCCAGCTCTACTATTCATTGCATGTTTAATAACACAGTCTCATTTTCTTACAGGTGATTTTCAAAGCTAAATCTAAATACTCACCAGAGTTACTTAAATACAGGTAAAAATACATTTCCACCATGAATGAAGGGGGAAAAAAAGCAACTATATATTATTGGGACATGTTTTAATGTACTTCTAGGAATGAAAACCATGTCCATGTATTTCTGAGAAGTAATAATTACTTTTATTGATTTATTTAGAGAATTTACGTGACTGTCCATCTTAAGTGCATAACCCTGGGCAGCTAACAACAATCCCCATAAAATGCATAATAAAACCTCAAAACACAAATATAAACCAAGTTAAAATAACCATAATACAATAGCTGGGCATCATAACAAACTCAAAACACAACTACATCTATGTTGGGCTTACTAACGTATTGGCCCGGTCAGGTCTTCAGTCTTTAGGAAGGCCAGGAGGGTTTGAGCCCTCCAAATCTTGAGGGGAGTCTGTTCCATATGATAGGCACTATGACTGAGAAAGCTTAATAATTACTTTTAATAATTAATGTTATATTTAATTTTTAATAATTCCCTGAGAAAATTTAGTTAAGGTTCAGCTACAGTTGTGCTTTAATTGGGTTCATTTAAGAGAGGACAAGATTTTAGAGAGGACAAGATACAGTCCAATGTAGTCTTGAAAGCTCAAGGATGGGAAAATTTTATAACGGAGAGCATATTATGCATTTCTGGGAAAAACTGAGCAGCACAAAGCCTTCTTCAAGCAACTTGAAATCCCAACACAGATGGAAGATGTGCTTTAGTATTGTATTAAACATTTGCAAAAAAAAAAAAATTGCAAAATTAATACTATTTTCTCTCTCCTTGTTTAGGCTACCTCTCTACCTGGTGTCTTTTGTGGTCAGTCTGCTTTTCCTGCTGGTGAATTTAACGTGTGCTGTGCTTGTGAGATTAGAGAATTCAGAAAGGAGGATAATTGTATTGGTCAGGGTTGCTATAAATGACACTCTGTTTGTACTCTGTGCCATCTCACTCTCCGTTTGTCTCTACAAGATTTCCAAAATGACCTTAGCAAATATTTACTTGGAATCCAAGGTAAAGTACATCTTAGCTTTTTGATTTTTTGTGTTTTTGTTTAGTCTGGGGAAATAATTCCAATGAAGATAAGTGAATGGTAGCTTGTTCAAGAATGGAAGGGTTTTTCTTCAGTGTCTAGTCAAGATTAATGCAAGTGAATCCAACTGATGGCTTATTTTATTTATTTACAAACTTATAAAATCGATGCTTGTAATCAGTTTAAAGGCAATAGCAAACCACTTCTGTAAATGTTGCCAAGAAAACTGCATGGACCTGTCCATGTAGTTGCCAGGGGTCCAGACTGACTTGAAGACACACATGCACATGGAAAAATCAGTTCGAAATCAATCAATTATGGGTTCCATGTAATCAACTCTGAAAGCCTCTAAAACTCCTGAGTAAAATAAACCCTTTCCTAAACTTTAACAAGAAGGGCTTCAATGCCAATAACCTTGTTCTATGATCTAGTTCTCTGAAAAAACGTGAGGTTAGCTGTTGTTAAATGATGAGGTATTCTTTTCTTCTAAGTTTCATTTTATTGTAAAATATCAGAATTCCTTTGTTCAGTTGGGAATAAAACAGCATTCTCAAAATGGTTTTCTCCAAGTTGGCATGGGAACTTCCAGGACCACACTATGTTATTTCAAATATTCCTCAAACAAACTTAAACACATTCAACATACAACATGTAGTGGGGAAAAAAAATCTGAAAGAACAGCTGTTTTTTCCCTATGTACACTTGCTTGAGAATATGTTCTACTTGAACACAGTGGAAATTAGTTCTTTATAAATGTGTACAGATTGTGCTGAACAACATACACACATGAATAACAGTCAGGAAATTGACTCCTTGAATTCTATATTTCACTTTATCCAATAATATTGACAAACTGCTGTTTTTATACCAATTGTATAATAGTTGCTTGGAAAAAAAAGGTCACCAATTTGTCTAGCATAATAAATCAGTGCAATGTGATCAAAGCTACCAAAATAAAATCCATTCAAAATAAGAACTAAAAAGAGCCATGCTAAATCAGTTCAAAGACCTAGTTCAGAAGTCAGCCACCTTTTAAAGTTGGGGGCATCATCATATGATTTTTCATTATATTATGGAAGCAAAAGATAGGAAAAGTTTTCAAGTTAAAAATGTTTTAAACATTCAGAATGCCCCAAATCTAGAAGACACAGATCTTATGAAATTTGCACATGTCTCAACCTTTTAGCAATTTTGTCAGTGGGTACCATATACTAGTATTTCAGATGCCATGACCTAGCATTTTCAACATCCTGTATCTAACAGTGGCCAATCAGATGACTGGAGTGCCACAGTCTAGGATCTGGGAACAATAATGCATTTCCATCTGTCACTACTCAGCAACTAACCAAAGACTGTACAGGTGATCCCCGGGTTAAGAACACCCAGTTTAAGGACGACCCATAGTTAAGAACAGAGCCTATTGTAGCAAAATTCAAGTTAAATACACAATGGT